GAGATCAATAGCTCAAGCTAAAATGTAAACACACAAATAAATGAGTCAGAGCAGTGACTTCTCTTCCTTCCTCGCTGCTCTGTTCGGAGGGCTCTGTACAAACTTTCAATTAGAGGGAGAGCCAAAAGGTAAATAGCATCCACTGCACTTTCTCTTTCTCACACCTTTTCAACCCATATGGACCAAAGCAATTTTAAAATTTCTGCTATGGGCCTATTTATTTGGCAATAACTTTGTCATTAGTTAACCCTTTCGCTGCCAAGCCCTCCGGAAAATATTGCAACTCAGCCTGCCACGCCATTTTTGCAATTTTTCCCATTGATTTGATTTTGAACTGCTGCGCTGCTAGCATTTGTAAAAGACCCCCCAAACCATATATTTTCTGAAAGCGCAGGCCCGGTAGAATAAAAAGATGATGCTACTAAATTTGTAGGCCCTGCGATAATTGTGCAAATGTTTCTAAAATGAATATTAAACTGATAAAAATACACAATTCAATTGCTAAAAGCACACTAAAATCAGTATCAGTACACACAAAAAAATATTTTCTGACTATATCTAAAAGATAAAACTGTATTGAGTTAATAAATAACAAATATTTGCAAATTTGAAATTGCGCCTTTTTGCAAAAAGGTAAAAAAATGAAGGTGCGCAAAACTGTAAATAAGCGACTTATGTTAAAAATAGTTTTTACGCTGTGTTGGTGTTTGTGTTGTGATAAAATGATACATGCGTATATTTAATTGCAACACAAGGTATCACAACGCATGGCAATGCATCACAAAGCTTTGCCATGCACTGCCACAGTTAAATTAATGTTTTTTTAAAAGAAAAAAAATCATGCACTGCAATGCATTCTAACAACGCACTGCAGCGCATGTGCATGGTGTACACCAAAATATGGTGCACTTGTATGTTATGTGTGTGGGGGGAGGGAGGGCTCTTTCTGCAGCCCCAGCACTCAATAAATGGGAAGCACTCAGTACAGAGGATTCATTCAGAAACTGATGACAGTAAATATTTTTACTATCATCAGTTTATAAATGGGGAGGAGCCTCTGTAGTGAGTGCTACTCCCCATTCATAAATTTATGAATGAACAGGAAGTGATCAGACGATCTTTTTTTTGCCCTGCAGAAGAGCCGCCCCCCCCCCCCGCCGGTGATATTACTACGGATCCCCGCTGCCACGGACCCTACAAGCGGGGGACAGCAGAGGGGATCCATAGAGTCTCTCATCCCTCCCTGGAGCGGCTCCTTACATGTGCACCTTGCTGTAAAGCTGGTGACGAATAGATGAGTGCGTTTATTTTGCTTAAGTGTATCCTCTGCAGCCCTAAAAAAAAGCAAAATAAAGTAGTATACCCACCACAAAAAAAACCTGATTTGAGGAAAGGCAGGTAGTCTATGGCCGTAGGATGCTGCCTTCCCGTTCCCCCTGGCCATAGAATTTTCCATCTCCTCCCCACTAGTACCCCAACCCTCCTTCTCTTCCTCACCACCAGCATCCCAACCCTCCTTCTCTTCCTCACCACCAGCACCCCAACCCTTCTCCTCATATTTATCCTTTGTCTACTGCTGCCTCATTGTATTCCACAAGTTAAATAAAGACCACCTGACTTTTGCTGCCTCAACGAGAAACTGACCAGCATCCTCTCGGATACCAATAAGTCATTTGTGAAGATCTGGCAACCCTGGATAGACTATACCCACCCCTCTCTGGCCCCAGCTAGCCTAATAGCCCTCTAGGCAACCACAATTAAAGAGCTCGTTCCAATCAGACCCAGTGCCCCCCTAACCACTCCCCCCCCCTCCCTTCTTTTCTTTTTCTTTCCTCTTTGCCCCTTGCCACCTGGCACACTGCCTTCCGGATTCCCTTATTCGGACAACCCTCTTTCAACTGGATTTATTCCCAACTTGAAGAACCCGGAGCACTTATGACCTCAATTGAGACCCACTTGACATCAGACAATGTCTCCGCGTTCCAGAGTTACCTGTACTTCTGTATTGTTTACTGTGTTATGTACCCTATCTAATGTCAAAACTCAATAAAAACTTTGAAACGAAATAAAGACCACCTGTGTGCAATCTAAGTGTCACATGATCTCAGTATACAGTATATACACCTGTCCTGAAAGGCCCCAGAGTCTGCAACACCACTGAGCAAGCGGCACCACCAAGCAAGAGGCAGCAAGAAGACCAAGGAGCTCTCCAAACAGGTCAGGGACAAAATTGTGGAGAGTAAAGCTCAGGGTTGGGTCATAAACAAATATCTGAAAATTTGAGCATCCCATTGAGCACCATTAAAGCCATTATTAAAAAATGAAAAGAATATGGAACCACAACAAACCTGCCATGAGAGGGCCGCCCACCAAAACTTAAAGACCAGGCAAGAAGGGCATTAATCACAGAGGCAACAAAGAGACCAAAGATAACCCTGATGGAGCTGCAAGGCTCCACAGTGGAGATTGTAGTATCTTCATGGAATAGTGGACAGAGAAAAGCCATTGCTTACAGAAAAAAAATAAGCTGGGGTCCTGTTCCTTTAGACAATTGTCTGAAAGATAAATCATGTGGTTTTGTCTCCCTGTGTGATCTTCTATGTCCATTCACAGAATGCCATATACACTGTGTAAAAAATTCAAGACATTTTGTGAATAACCACAGATGGGTCGGGGGTGCATAATCTATCATTTTACCGAATGCAGCAGCTAGCCACAGATGGGCTGTTCATTAGTACTGAGATATTAGTAGATTGCAAATAGCCAAAAACATTTTTTCCTGGAGTTTGCTTTAAAGTGGACCTTCTATAGCAAATGGAAGATTCACCTTTTTTTTATCAACCCTCTGCCCCCCAAAACAAATGGCTCTGAAAATATGCCATTTGCAAACTGCTCAGATTAAAAATAAAATACTAACTTTGGCCCCGTCGACAGACGCTGCTAGCATAGCTGAGAGCTCAAAATCCTGTGAGAATGCACTCTTGCAATAGGCTGAACAGACCCCCGTTTCTAGCTCCTCCAGGAGGTACGGTAACCTTTCATGTGCCTCCCGGAAAGTTTCTGATGGTGGGGCTGAGGTTTTTTTTTCTTTTTTAATTTTGGGTGAATGATTGGTTTACAAATTGCTTTTTAAAGCCATTTTTGTAAAGGGGGGGTAGAAGGCTGTCAAAAAGTGGACCTTCCATTTGACATGGAAGGTGCACATTAAATGTAGTTACAGCACACTTTAGGGATTTCCAGAGGGGTCTTCTGTGTTTGGTCCTTAGTGATAAACAATCACTAATATAAACACTTGCAGGAAACACAAACCGGGGCTTCCTCAGAGTTTTTATTTCCCCAAGGTTCCATTTTTTTCCTACAGGGAATCCATTGTATCAGCTGTGTTTAGAACTGTATTTCCAACTCATTTAGCAGAACAATATGTAACTGGTAATGAGTAGAGCTTAATGACACAAACAGAGGTCGTTAAAGAAATTATCCCGACAGCCATAATTCAGCAATAGATGGGTCCATATTGTATGTTTGGATGAACGGTGTGGCCGTAATGTTAATGACCCACATCAGACTTCAAACGAACATAACCCTGGAAGTCTGCCTGGGGCAAGAAAGATTGTGCATGGAGGCCACCAATCACTGCAGACAGTGTTATCCAACCAACTATCTATGTAACTGTACATGAATACAGGAGCTTAAATTCAATTATGAATTGTATACATGGACTTCTGTAGAGCACTGTCACAGCTTCTGAATAACCTAATACTAGCTTTCTGAATGTCTGACAAATATATGGCTGCTACAATAATAATATAGGTGAAATAAACACATTGTTGGGTCCATTAGGGGTTAATGAGTGCAGAAGCACAAGTAACTAAACTTTATACAATGTTAGTATTTTTTGTATCTATATTAAGCAAATATTTCAAGTGACACTAAATCTTGAAAATGTATTCAAGTACCCTATTAACAAAAATGTATCTTATTTGTGTATCACTTGGCTATAGATCCTCAAATCATCTCTGAAGTTTCTCTATCACCCGTGTGTGTACATTTCAGCTTGACTTAGACCCCATTCACACTGACCAATTTGTAGCGTGATTTCCACTCAAAAATCACTCAATGTAGTCCATCCAATGCATTTCAATGGAGCTGTTCACACCTCACAGCTCAATGTTGAATGTAGCTTGTAGCTCAAGCTTGCTGCTCGAACATGACCTATTTTTCCAGCGGATTTTGTGCGATTTGCCCCCCATATGCTTTGATAGACTGCCAAAAGAAGAGCTGCGTAGTGCAACAAAATGTGCACTGTAGCTAATTGCCGTGCAGCTCAAATCAGCGCTGAGAAAGCGCATTTTTGTATGTAGTTCAGTGTGAATGGGGTCTTACTGAACTCTGTAAACAACAGATTTCTTTTGTTACAGCAGAGCAGTCAGGAATAGACAGGGAAACTTGAGGTCAGTGCTCCACTTCCTTCAAATGAATGTACACGATCTTCATTCAACTATTGCTCAATTAATGTTGTCAAGTAAATATTTCATATTTACTTGACAACAATACTTAAATTTATTTATTTTTAATCCTTAACATAACAAACTGAGCACTGGGGCCAAGCAAAAAGCAATGTTAACATCTCAAATACTATCTGAGACAATACTGTATGTAGCATTCTGAGCTATTATCTGAGAGCACCCTAATTCATTAAGAAAACCGAATTCTAACCTAATAAAATACTGAGAAAGATTCACGGATAAATATTCACCAATTTCTATGAATGTAAATAGTTTATATTTATTTTACTCTCAACAATGTCAAATTGGTTTGTTCTGTCAGAGAGTGCGGCAAATCTTTGAGGAAGCCACGCCCCTGACAACAGCGGACAGAACGTTACACCCTCCACAGCCGAGAAAGAGCAGGAGGGGCGGTACAAACGAAGCTCCAATCAGAAGTCAGAATGTAAATCAGTCAAGCTTCTTTCGTTGTTTCGCTGTAATTGGACGGTGAGGACGAGGCTTGACACGCATGTGGGTCCTGTCTCCGTCTGCTCTGCCGTGTGACATTGACTTTCCGGTTGGCCCGGAGCGGCTGGTGAAGGTGAGCCCTATGTGGCGGATTCTATACATTTAAATTCTTTTTTTCAGGGACATGTGACTTCACCAGTCTGATAGAGGTATATGTCCATGTCCATGACTGTTGATCATAGGGCCTCTTCTACTGGCTTCACATGTCTGCTGCCGAGTTGCCCCTGGAAACATGTGCAAACTGTCTTGTCAGCAGAGGTGGTCAGTGTTCCCTGATGTCCCAGGGCTGTTTACTAGAATTGTTTATGATTTCAATGATTGGGCAATTGTAGAATATATTCAATTTTTTGGCACATCTAGATACATCTGTAGTGTATGTTGATATCCTCTTAGCTCTTGATAGGAGAGGTGTCATGAAAGCATGTGTAGGGTGCCATTGCTGGCCACTTTTTGTATGCAAACACTAACTGACTGTTATGCTGATCTGCAGGCTTCAGGAGCTCCTGGGTCACAGTTCTGACTTTGCTTGCTGGGGATTCGTGAATGAGACGCTCTCCACCAGACGCTGAGCAAACTACAACTCCCAGCAGATCTGGCTTTCACATAGGTTAGCAACAGTCTGAGACAGGAAGCATATCTCTATGTTTTGTTTTTTTTGCTGTCAGCACCCCCATTCGGGGGGATTCCCCTCTATGTTCTGATGACAGTCGTCCCCAAGACTGAAAGTGAGGGGAGAATCCAACATTTTACAGCAAGAGATGAGGGAAAAACTTCCAATGGATCCATTTGTTTCAGGGCAAGCTGAGAGGAGACTCCCCTCTTCACTTGGGGAGATTTTTACTGACTTCCTGTGGCATCTCTGGGACAGGAAGTGAGGGTACATATTGTTAGTGGTACACAGATGGCAAAAAAATGACCCGACAGGGGATGTAACCCTTCCCTAAACTCACACAAACTAAACATAAAAAGAACTCCCCAGAAGAGATCATTAGTAATACTTGTCCTGCATCCCGCACCTCCGATGTTTGCTAAAGCAATTCTGAATTTGTGTAACCTGTGAGAGGTGCATTCAGGAGGCCATTCAAAAGATCTACCCAGTCTCCCTAGCTTACGAGAACTGGAGTGGATCCTCATCCTGGGGTCCAGTGTGGGTTGCTGTGCTGTGACAGAGCTTCATCCATATGTGCATTGGTTGTACAGCTCCCTTGCGCGCCCTGTAGAGATTCCGGGAGCCAGAATGTGATGTCACTCTGGTCCAGGCACCTCTACAGGGCACACGAGGGAGCTGTAAGCAATGCATGGATGGATGAAGCTCCCTCAAGGCCATAGCCCTATCCCACCTCAAGCTGACACTTGGCACCGGGCAGCATATTCTGAATGGCTGCTTGCCATGAGAACTGACAGTGCTGCGCTAGAGGGAGGCAGAGGAGCCTCTCACCTAGAAAAGTGGAAGGCACGCACACCCACTGAACACAGGGTTGCGACCCACTTTTGAATCTTCAGCATCCGTCACACCTCTGGGTGTGCGTGCGATGTTTGGTCCCCCACTAAGTATTGGGGGGGGTCTGTCTGCGGGCTGATAGCTCACTCCAGGAAACACTACTGGCATAGCTGTCAGAGCACTTTTCTTTTCCAAACAGGTTAAAAATCTACATTTCTAAAAGCAGAGGACCTGTAGAATAAAAAGGTGGTAGTTGCAATTTTTTATGTCGTGCTATATTTGCACAAATGTTCAAACCTATATTTTCAATTAACACATTGGGGGAGAATTTATCAAAACTGGAGCAGCTGTGCATGGCAACCAATCAGTTTCTCTCTTCAGTTTGTTCAGTTAAGCTTTGAAAATGAAAGAAGGAAGCTGATTGGTTGCCATGCACAGCTGCTCCAGATTTTGTCTGCTCCAGTTTTGATGAATTCCCCTTCAATGTCAATTAATTTTTTTATTGTTAAAATGTAAAAAATGACACTGAGTGGAGTAAATAGATAAAAAGCCATAAAATTGTGTTTGCCCACGAAATGGCAAACGGTTACGATACTCAAAAATGTCCATAGGCTTGGAAAACCTTTAGGGCCCCGTTCACACCTAAGAGTAGTATTAATCACACAAATGGCGCTCCGACACGGCGAGCCCACTCTAGGTGCGTTGTGCCATATCATACAATAAGTATCGTGTGATTAACGCAATGCTTAGGTGTCAATGGGCCCTTATAGCTCATCAATTTAGGAGTTCATAAATTAAATGATGGCGCTAAAATTATTCCTCCAGTTCCAGCGCACGCCAAGATACTCAATAAGTGCTACCACATCACTGTTTAGTTTACTTTCAAACGAGCGTCTTCGCTGTGCAGTGGGGGACAACTTTTACATTTTTTTTCCCACTAACCTTTATAGCCATCACAATTGGCAAGCCTCCTATGGATAGCATTGGGTAGGTACAAGCTCTCTTAAACAGGAACTGCAGGATATTTAAAAGTTAACTGCTAATTTTTGTCTAGGTTCCAAATAAAGAAGAAATACTCACCAAATCCTCGGTCCTGCCTGGCTGCTATACCGGTCCCTGCAGCCTCTTCTGCCTCTGGCTTCGGCAGTCTAAGGTCCTGTGAGTCATCACATCTAATACAGTGTATTAGATGTGAGGACACTGAGGGCCATACCACAGCCGGAGAGAGAGGTGAGAGGTCTCTGTTGCAGGATCAAGGATGGGGTGGGTTTATCTTTAGTCGGTCCCCCAGACAAAAACGAGCAGTTAACCCTTGCAGTGCGTGTATAGCAAATAGATTCTCACCAAGTGCCCGGGGACCGTGTAGTTGAGTGTTGGGCAGGGGAGGGGTGCACATTGCCTCCCTGTAGAGGTGATTAGGTGGCTTCACAGATGCCCGGATCACTTCTTTGTTGTAAGCAGCTGTTCAGTTTTGAATCAGCGTGTAGTGACTGGGACAGGGTCTTGACTACCCAGGATGAGCATTATCTTGGAGGCAGGCTCAATTTCTAGTTACATTCTGAAACTTTATCTTTCACCACAAATATATTTGTGTATCTCTTCCAGCAAACCATCATGGGGCTGCTTCAGAATGTTGTCCGAGGCCTGGTTCGTGGTTCAGACAGAATGGCCGAGATAACCAGTAAAATGGGACCTAACTCCTTCAACAGAGGACGAGGAACCAAGAAGATGGGGTATCTGACCTCCAACCGCAAGTTTGTCAAGGTGAAGGAGATGGTGCCGCAGTTCATAGTCCCCAATCTGACTGGGTTTAACTTAAAGCCGTACGTCACTTACAAGGCTCCTCCGGGAACAGAGGAGGAAATGTCTGCCGAAAAACTGTTTATGGAAACTGTAGCTCCAGCCATACAGAAGGACTATGAAGAGGGAACCTTCGATCCTGATACTCTAGAAAAATATGGATTTGAGCCCACACAGGAGGGCAAACTGTTCAAGTTGTATCCAAAGAATTATGTCCAATAGTGTGAAGTCACAGCATGGAATCTTGTCCATATTGTGGAACTTTCTTTTCTAATTAAATGTTACTCATGAAGTACAAGTCACAACTTTTTTTCTTTTGTACAAAATAAAGTGAAACACTGAGCAAGACTAAGTACCCAGCTAAAATCCATACATGTGTACTGTTTTCCTTAACTCCCATGGTCAGTGCTTGGAGCCAAAAGATATACCCATTCATTTCAGGCATTACTTCATGTGATAGGACTGATTGGCCCAGAACTGTCACATGCTGCTACATGCCTGGAAGTAATGTGTATACCCTTCTGGGGTCCATAGCCCTATGTAAACAACAACTCCAAATCTGAGCTGGCACAGGACTTTCCTTTGCCCCTGGCAGTTGGAGTGGAGTGAAGCGGAAGAAAGTTAAAGGATATCCCCCCCCCCCACCCAATGCTAGTGTAAGGACTTACCTTAAGTGAAGCCTCTTGATCCAATCAAATTCTTTCCTGTAGTTTTCAGGAGTCCTTCCAGTGCTGGTGCCGATCTCTGATCCAGTGCTGACTCCTCTCTCTTCCTGGCACATCCTGTCCCATGGAGTCTGTGCGGGTGCACGCTGCCTCTATTGACTTAGCTTGTGTCTCTCCTCGTCTCCCAGCCGAAGATCTGTACTGCGCATGCACCCGCCCATGTTCCTTTGTGGTCACATGAGACTTTTCAGATCTTCTGATGGGAACACGTGGCGGAGACACAGGTAAGTTTAAATCTTTTTTGTAACTTTTTAAAATGTTTTTGCAAATATCTACTGCTTGCTAGAAGTAGATACAGTACATGCAAAAACCCCCGAGGGTTTATATATCCTTTAGGTATGTGCTACTAGGGAGAGAGTAATTAAAGTAAACCTGAAACGTGCCCAATGCTCTGCAAATTTATGGTGAAGCAATTTCGTTTAAGGTGAGTATTTACAAGCTAGAATTACACATTGGCAATGGAATTAGAGTTAATGAGGCCAGTAAAGTCCCAGACATTTATGAGGCCTAGTTCAAAATGTTTAATGTAGAACTCTAGCCAGATTTTTTTTTTTAATGATTTGAAAAGGTTCATAACCTTTGTTAATCTTTTATTACCATATGTGTACCCATTCCCTATTCCTATACTTGGGGACATTAGCCCCGATGCTGGCGACGTACACTGTACGTCAGTCACGAAGGGGTTAAATTCACCTAAAGTGAGAGGAGGTGACAGCTGTCACCAGAACTGAAAGATATGGCCACTGTCCCTGTTCTGGTTTCAGTTTGACATTTTGGATTTCCCCCCCATTTTCTGTCCAACTGAAAATGCTAAACCAGCTTATAAATGCAGAATAACCCCCCCCAACAACATTAAAGGTCTGACTGACAAAGGTACCAACCCTTCCCAACCTTATTCCAAAACTGAGAAGAAAAAAAAAGTCCAGGACTCCCACTTTACATTTGACTGCCAGTGCAGACTGTGACTTGTAGTTCCTGTCCTAGTGGAAAACAAATTCAGATTAGGTCCCCTTTAGTACCTTCTTAATGAAAGAATTAAAGAGCTCAGCTAGCCAAACAAGCAATTTTATTGATAAAATCGCAGTAACAAAAATACAGATTAGCTTGCGCTGTAGTTGATGAAACATGCTGTGGGTCAGGATCCCACTTTTATAATATAAATACATTTTGCTGGTATATTGGGTTGTGCTCTTTTATCATACCTATATACAGTTCTGAGGGCTCAGGGAATTGTGTGATAGGAACAGGTATATGATGTATGTTTGCTTATTGCTTCATATTCATACCTTTTAGGAGTATAACAATGATCACATGGACCCCGTGTAATACAATTCAGGCATTGGTTCTGATCACACACCAGTCTAGTCTATAAAATTCTAGATGGACAAACGCATGTAGACTTCATGAGCTAGTTAGTCCCATTTAGAAGCCAGGAGATACTTCTCAGGAAAGTTTGTGATGTGTGTGATGAAGTGAAACTGGGTCCAAAGGAATGCAGAAAAATACCTACCGGTAGTACTTTCTGGTATGAGGAAGAATGGAATTTTTTCCCCTTCCTCCCATAATGCTCCACTGGATATCTGAGCAGCTAATGGCTAGGCCAGAGCACTTTCACCTGGTGGGGCACAGGGATAATACTAAGACGTAAGCTCCTACCAGATTGCAGACTAATAGGGCTTTTTTTCTTCACTGTGGTTGGGAAACAAAAGAAGCAGTAAAAGGCAAGGGGGTGCAGGCAATTAAGTGAACCTGTTGCTTTGCCGTGCATAGTGCAAGAGGCACAAGGTAAACTAGGACATGCATAGAGCAAGATGGAATCTTCTATCCTAAAAATGCTGGCACAGACTGAACACAAAGAAGTCACACATAAAAAGCACTCGCTGTGTTTACATCTGACAGTTCTCTGCTTCCAATCTCCTTGACACAGGAAATAAGTCTTTCCTGTATATAAAGTATCATTCTTTACATCAGTAATTTTGTTGGCATTTCTTCATTTATAATATTGGACACCAAAAGCTGCCCATCTGCATCTCTCTATAGGCTGATGAGTCTCTCCTGCGAATACTCGGATGGCAGCATGCAGCCTGCCAAAACTACAAGGCAGAGTGAGCTTGAGGCCTGCCACACACAAAATGAATGGCTGAGAACTCAAGGTACTTGGCAGTACTTTTGGGTACCTATCAGCTGGGGAGATGTCCCTACTTCGTGTGTGATCATCAGCAATGAGGAAAAAAAAAATCACCAGACCACAGCCAGCAATAAAAACCTGACAGGCTCTAAAACCCTTCCAAATTCTCTCCATAACTAAATGTTTTGGCTGGAGTTGCACTGTTAAGTGTATGAATGCTCACACTTCTAACTGGTACATGTGGAAGAACTAAAAAACAATAATTATTTCCAGCATCTTAGGGCCTAGTAGGTCTAAAGAAAGACAAAAACTAGCTGCCATGATACATCAGCAGCTATTCCCTTCCTGTTCTAGAAAAGTGGTAATGACGAGGTTGTGGTGGCTCAGCACAGTTCCACAGTGTGGATATTTCATGATTTCAGTGGATCGTCATTTTAAAATGGTGTTGGGATCTCTTTCGTTTTTTACATTAGACTAGAGTGCCATACTCCAAGGTGTGCCCAGCAGTCAGATTCCAGGCTCTAAGGCATTTGGGAGAAGCAGAATAAGAGGTAGGACAGATTGGTAAACCCAGGTGAGGCCAAAAGTGATGGTATCACTCTCCAGACTGTGTCATCTGCCACTGCCACCTCCACACATGCATGACATGGTCATAAAAGGAGCAGGTGGCCACTAGGCTGGTGTTTGCTGATCCGTATTCAGCAGAATTTTCCGATAGAGCCTTGTTGTCTAAATCCTTCTTTACAGGGTCAGTTTCAGGCAAGTATTCACCATGCTCATCCTCAAGAATCACGTCAAAGCTAGCAGTGGGTGACTCGTAGAAGATTTTCAGATTCTGCATGGGTTGGTCAAGGTTTGGTGCAGCCCCATCTGAGCCTATGCCATCTGGCTTATTGGCTGGCAGGGAAGCTGGCTCAGGATTGGTTGGTGAGTTGCATGATGGAGACAGTGTGGACCAATCGGCTCCATAGGCCAAGGAGTTGTGAAGAACATATGAGGAGACGATAGGGCAGCCATCTAATGAGGAACAAAAGTAACCATATAAGACTGGACTGTAGGTAGAATATTCTAAATCCTCCGGCTACGGTTTCCTAGTGAGTTCCTGATTACTGTAAACCAGTAAAATGGGGTTGAAGACCAGAATGAGAAGTTGGGAATGATAACTTCAATGTTTCTCTCAGGAAAGGTTTTCTTTGAATACTATTTCAATCATTAGAGTTTCTGTGCAAATAATATATTTAATCTGCAACAGGGAAACCTGCAATAAAAAGCAGACGAGGGGGGTAGTTTGCATTCCCCTCTCTAACTTTAAAAAAAAAAAACATTTTGTCTGTGTTGCTGTTGGAGAGTTTCCTTCACTTCCTGTGTTGTGAAAAGTTTGTTCCCCAGGACAGGAAGTGAGAGGAAATCTCTCTAAAGGAGCCCTGGACAGCAGTAAAACCTGACAAGGGTTCTAATCCATCCCTACTCTATCCTAAACTACAGAAAAAAACCATTTGGGGTATAGATAAGATACACTTTAATGTGACCAATAGTTGAACTCATACATGAAAATCACTCAGCCTCATAGTTCTAGCTGATCTGCGACAATGAAACTGTCACGTCAGCTCAATAGATCGGAAAGTGAGCGAACACATACCGTCGCTCACTTCTCGATCCTGTCCCTGCAGAGAGCCGTGACTGTCACTCGCCACTCCCTGCAGGGATTCCCCCCCTCCCCTGTCCGATCCTTCAGCGCTGACTGGCGGAACGGATGGGGGAGGGGCGGGTACAGCTGGCTCTGCCTCTAGATAGGCAGAGCCAGCTGTCAATCACGCAGCTAGGTGGATCTCAACAGTAATGTCGGGATCTGTCCCGGCTGCGGTACACTGAGCTTTGGGGGACGGGAGGGCAATATATAAAATGAACTGTTGTGTTTAGCTAGGAGAAGGGTACCTTTCCTATAGCTTTGTGAGCAGCAGCAGAAACGGGAATCTCAGCAATGTACAGTAGTCTCAGAGCAATATAGGGCACCAGGAGAATGATTCTATCCTTCAGCTGTGAGTTTACTCGAGTTTCCTGACGCTTCACTTCTGCACTTACCAGATGCATTGTCCAGGATGTGGAAGCCGCTATGCATACAGGCGGCCAGCAGGAGGGCGCTCTCTGTTGGGTGCCATTTCAGCCTCCAGACACCACCCTGAACATGAGTATCAGATACAGGCTGTCTCATCTGCCGCAAGTCCCAGATCAGAACATGTTCATCATAACTGAGATCCAAAAAGAAACATCAAAGTGAAAATCTAACAGCTCTTATTAGATATTAGAACATCGCTATCCTAGGAGGCTACTTATTTTTAAAGCCTGCAGTTCATTTACTTACATGTGAAAGCTTAATCTGGTCCCTTATCCGAAACCAGACTTGTCTAAGCAATGCTGATTTTAGATAAGGGCTCAGATTTCTGCAGCCCTCTGCTCTCCGAAGCGAATTAATGAGCAAAGGGCCCTAAATCCTGAACAGCCTCCTCTGTGTACTCATGTTTTACAGCATAAAGGGTGATGTTATTTGTGAAAATCTAATCTTTAATCCTGTTACGTATTCATGAAAAACAATATTATACCCTTTCTAAAATACCATCATAAATGACTGAAATCTAAATGATCTTTTCACAACAGAAATCAGGCTGAGAGTGGGAGGTTCTGCACTGTGAGCAAATCAGATTTCTATTGCTTGGCAGTCACTCTAACTTGATTCAGGCTCTGGGGGCAGGAGTGGGTAGTGTTATGCAGCCTACAGGAAGAGCACAAAAGGAACTGTGTAATGATTCTCCTTGAAAAAACTGCAGTGAACAAGCAGGTGAAAAAGGAAGCTGCAGTACGAAAAGGGATGTCAGCCCTCGGACCAGGCAGTGTGGCAGGGGTGTGTGAATAACAAGATGAACTGAACATAAAGGGTCCAGGCACTTTTTGTTTTCACAGGGTTAAAAATAAAAATAAATTGGCATTTAGTTGTGGTCAAATCTATTCCCTGATTGCTGACATGGAAGTAAATAGAGTGAATTTCCTTTCTCATCAGGACTAGGGTGACAATGATGATGTATATGAAACACTTTACCGCCATCTACTGGTAAACTATGAGTAGTGCAGGCTTTATAACCTGGCGTGTACAGTGAATGGAATCGAAGAATTCAGGTTTGCATCTCCAGTGTTGTACAAAAAGCGCATTTGTGGAAACAGTCCTGCAGTTATAAAGAGAAGATTGTTCAAGATTTCTCACCTTCCTGTCGCCAGAATATTCTCCCGAAGAGGGTGACTCTGAATGCTGCACACTCCCATTGAATGCCTGATAACGAGAGACATAAGGCTTAATCATGACATATTTCTATGGGTGACACAATCATAATCACTCTTTGGGAAGATTGTACAGTTCAAAGAGGTCAGTCACATTGGTAATCAGATTTATCTACTGAATTCTGATATGGGGAAGAATATGAACATCCTGTATGTTGACTACAGCAACAGTCAGATTTTTATTCTGCGCACCAATGGGACAGCAGCATGACATGATAAATCAGTTCACACAATGACTGTGCTTACCGTTTGCTGGTAAATATTGGGTGGTCCGGTGTAGATCTTGTATCCCATCCTCGCAGTAAACAATCATCTCCACCTAAACAGAAAAATAAGGAGATAGGTTTTCACCTGCTGTAACCAAGTGTGTTATTCAGTGCTCTGTCCAGTCCCCTTTCCCAGACTTCAGATCCATCTCTTTTGACAGCCTTCAGTCCTTTACCCTTTTAGGGTCCTCAGTCCCGTCTGCTCCAACGGATCGCCGTACCCTTTCCCCAGACCCCAGCCTGTTTCCTTTCACGGCCCTCATTCGTGTCCCTTACTACGGTCCTCATTCCTTTACACGGTCCTCAGCCCTGTCCCCTTTCACAGTCCTCAGGCCCATCTCCTACCCCTGACTTCAGTCCAAACCTTAGTCCCATCCCCTTCTCCGGCCTCAGTCCCGTCCGCTTCCACGGTCTATAGTGTGGTCTCCTTCCCCAGACCTCAGTCCCATCCCCTTTCACGGTCCTCAGTCCTGTCTCCTTCTCCCATTCCAGGGCTTAGACTTTTGTGACATGCAGTTTGCACACATGAAAAACAGTAGCACAAACTGTAAAATAGAGAACATTTTATACATTCAAATCATTCCATAATAACTGCAATAAACAAGTCCAACATTACTGCCACAAGAATTCACTAATATGGTTCCTACACACACCTGAGAACACCGTACTGGAATTCCAGTAGTTGAATGCAGCGATCCAGGCTTCAAACCCATGGGCTCCCCACTGACACTGGATGTCCAGGGACGGTGAAGATTCCCCTACATGCACCAAACTGAGTCGCCCCTTTGAGTCGCTGCAAATGATCTTTATGGGAGAGTTACTAAAAAGGAGAGAGAACATCACAAAGCTGAACACAAGGCTGATGTAAACCAGAAAAAAGTCAAAGTGAGCATGTTTTTCATAGCTACCTGTTTTCAAAGTCACTAGATAAACTGCAGCTAAAATCTGATTTAACGCTGTGGGGAAAAAACGTTTTACCTTTTTATAAATTGGCCCAACATTTTCATAACTTACTTTTCTCTTCTTCCTGTGGACCAGTCGAGGGACAGAGCCAAGCAGTCGTCACCCACATCCATGCTGTGCACAAGCTCCACCTGGCAACTTTCCTACTGAAGAAAAATAGTCACTGCAGAAACCTGATCTGCTGAACAGCTATACTAAGAATACATCAAGAGGTATATTTATTAAATATGAATTCTGATTGGCTGCTGAAAGTTACTGCCCTTTGTGTTTGACATAAGCCTGTTAAACAATTACACAGTAGTTTGTGACTAAATAAGCGATGCTGTACAAACTTACCCCTCTGCTTTGTAGTTTATAAAGCTCTAGTGCCCCCTTTGCATTAGCAATACCCAACACAGGATGATCTGAGAGGGGAATGTGGCACCTAGAGAGAAAATAAGATATCCACTTTTACTGCCTTGACAGGTAATAAACATTCAAGTCCAAAAGGACTGGAATTCAGTTGTTTCCAAGATTTCACCAGACACTGGCTCAGTTCTCATTTCCCTTTGGGACTGCCGCTGATGTTACTAGTTTCCATGGTGCAAGCGAAGGGACTCATCTCCTGTGCTCATTGGCTGTCAAAAGTCAGAGTCAACCACAAAAAATGAAGAGAGGGAAAACCAGATTGTTGATTTCACCATAGATATAGTTGTCATTACATTACTTAGAGTATAGATGTCATGGACGCTGCCTCTGATGGCTTCCTTCTGAAATCACCAACTGGATAAAGAACGCAACAAATGAAACTCCAAGAAAAAGTCAGAATTCTTGCTTATTTGGAGGTCAGTTACTCAACAAAATGTTGAAACCAATGCATAAGCATCAAAACCAGGAAACCAGTATTTCCAGAGGGAGTGGTCAACAATTGGAACCTGTATACTCCGATCAGCCATTACATTATGATCACTGAGAGGTGGAGTTAATTACATTGATTATCTCATCACTATGGCACATTGAAGTGGGTGGGATATATCAGGGGGCAAGTGAAAATGTTGTCCCTGAAGTTGATGTGTTGGAAGCAAAAAAAAAAATGGGGAAAAAAGGGGAAAATTGTGATGGCAAGACAACTGGGTCAGAGCAACTCCGAAACTGCAGCTCTTGTGGAAAGTTCCTGGTCTACAGTGGTCAGGACCTACCAAAGTGGTCCAAGGAAGAAAAACCCGTGAACTGGCAGCAGGGTTATGGGCGGCCAAGGCTCAATGATGCACAAGGGGAGCGAAGGATGGCTCGTGAAGTCCGATCCAATAGAAGAGCTACTGTACCTCAAACTGCTGAAAAAGTTCATGTTGGTTCCGATAGAAAGGTGTCTAAACACAAAGTGCATTGCAGTTTGTATTATGGGGCTGGGTGCCCATGCTGATCTGTATCCACCTTCAAAAGTGCCTATAATGGGCATGTGGTCATCAGAACTGGACCACAGAGCAATGGAAGAAGGTGGCCTAGTCTTATGAATCACGTTTTCTTTTACATCATGTGGACGGCCATGTGTGTGGCTTAACCTGGGGAAGAGATGACACAAGGAGGCACTATGGGAAGAAGGTGGCAAGCTAGCGGAGGCAGTGTGATGCTTTGGGCAACCATCCTGCCATTCATGTGGATGTTACTTTGACATGTACCACCTACCTAAACATTGTTGCTGACCAAGTACACCCCTTCATGGAAATGGTATTCCCTGATGGCAGTGGCCTCTTTCAGCAGAATAATGTACCCTGTCACACTGCAAGAATGGTTCAAGGAACACAACAACGAGTTTGAGGTGAACCTGGCCTCCAAATTCTCCAGCTCTCAATCCAATCAAGCACCTGTGGAATGTGCTGAAAAAAAGTCTGGTCCATGGAGGCCCCACCTCACAACTTACAAAACTTAAAGGATCTGCTATTGACGGGTTGGTGTCAAATACCCCAGTATAGATTTTTATCTTTAGTTTAGGATAGAGTAGGGATGGATTAGAACCCCTGTCAGGTTTTACTACTGTCCAGGGCTTCTTTAGAGAGATTTCTTCTCACTTCCTGTCCTGGGGAAGAAACTTTTCACAACACAGGAAGTGAAGGAAACTCTCCAACAGCAACACAGACAAAGGCAAAATGTTTTTTTTTTTAAAGTTAGATAGGGGAATGCAAACTACCTCCCTCATCTGCTTTTTATTGCAGGTTTCCCTGTTGCAGATTAAATATATTATTTGCACAGAAGCTCTAATGATTGAAATTAGGGATGTCCCGATACCGATGCTAGCTTCCGTATCGGGCCCGATACAGGGCATTTTCACAAGTACTTGTACTTGTGAAAATGCCCCGGTACCTAACGCCGATGCTTGCGCATCAGTGTTGATTTCGTATTGCCCGGGACATATAGTTCCGGGCGCCGTGCAAACGAGAGCAGGGGGCCGTGGAGCGGTGACGGCGGGAGGCGTGAAGCGGTGACGGCGGGGGGCGTGAAGCGGTGACGGAGCCGGACACATGGAGCTGTGACAGGCTCTGTCACCTCCCTCAGCCTCTGTCCCCGGCTCGTTCTTGTCACAGGAGTTCTAGCACACTGCTGTGCTAGAACTCCTGTGTTGGAGGTGACAGGGCCAAAGAGTACCTGCATACCTACAGAGGTCTAGTGAAGTTCATGCCTCGACGGGTCAGGGCTGTTTTGGTGGGAAAAGGGGGACCTACTCAATATTAGGGGGGTGGTCACAATGTTATGGCTGATTGGTGTATATGGCAAGGATACTTAAAAGCAAAAACTTGTGGCCAGTGCAGCATAGTGCTGACCCATTTCACTCCCTGCATAGAGTATTTGTAATGCACCCTGCTTACCTGAAAATCTCATGGTTGTGGTGTAATCTGTCCCATCCTGTTCCTCTCACCTCACCTTTGGCTGCAAAGTATGGTGGGTACTCCCACTGGCCAATAGGCAAGCAAGGAGTGCAGTAAGGGATAGCTGGGGCCCATAAGAATTCTGGCTAATTTTTCCACAAAAAGGCCAGGGCATATGCAATTTATACATAAAGACTTGTGCTTATAGTGTGCTCAGAATATGGGCAATAAACTAGTTACTATTCTAAACCAAGCATTTTAGCTGCTAGTACTGTGGAGTTATTCGTTCTGAAATATCACAACAAAGACTTTGAAGTGGTGTTTCAGTCAGTTTTAAACAGTATAGAAACACCTGCTGTTGATTTACATTAGAAGCCTGGCATCACATGCCATAAAGTTGTTTATACCTCATACACTGTGCAGTCTATGCTGTACTCATTCCATAGAAAATAATCTTTGGCATGAGGATCAAACGGAGTACTTACCATTTCATGTCCAGTATGGCGGCTGTTTCAATCCTCTGCAGCTCTGTTACGGGTGAAAAAAGCTGGTGGGGATCATAGGTATAGAGGTAGAGGCGGCCCAGCCGCATATGAGGATCGTCGCTTTTCTCCTCGCCGTGCTGTGGGTATAAGAACAGTTTTATTGGTGAGGAGGCAACACAGAGAACAAAATAACGTGCAAGGTGCAGGGGTGACACCAAGAGCCACGATCCATAACGACCAATGATCTTTCATCTTTAGTTAGTTTGCAAGCAGTTCAATCAATGAAAGGTGATTTGTTGCTATGGGTTACTGTACCCTGCAAGATTCTCTAGTAATAATATAAGGTAATGGCTAATGGACAAACCCTAATGACTAAAGGGCATAGACAGTTGGCAGTAGTCCCACACTTAGGCACAGATTTACACTCTGTATTTCGGGACATAGCAGGCTCTCTTCCTCAAACCGACATAGTGATGATCAGCAATGGCAGCCTCTGTGTTTTCCTTTATACTACATTGGAGGTTGTGTTGTGAGGTCCATATGGATGCAGATATAGATGCAGGCCACACATGATACAATTTGGTTACACAATCTCCATCTGAACAGGGACCATCTGGACAATCCATTACATTTTTTATCCAATCGGACAGGTCCTTGTACTACATATTTGTTGGTAGATCTAAAGGAAATTGTACAAATAGGTGTATGGCCTGCTTAAGTGGAGTTTGATTATAGCTAAGGAAAATTATTTATTTTTTAGGTACAGGCAGTTGAAGTTTTTTGGTACAATTTGGCTGTTGATAAAGAAGCTTTTAGCTTTTCTACGTCCTCTAATTGCTGGCAGATTGAGCATAGACTTTGTATATAGTAGTATAAAAGAAGCCCAGTGGTGTTGATTATTGCATGGATTATAGACAAGTAAGAACCGTGATCTAAAAGTTCAACCAATAAGATAAGAGTATGAAGTACTACTACTCACGTTGCCATCTGGCTTCTTCAACTGATATGTGCCACAGGCCAGGACCGTGTTCCAGTCATCCACAGGACACCATTCCACAGCATCCGCACTGTACTCTGTATCTGTGATCTGTAATGTCTGAGTCTTGCTGCTCACCGCCATGTCTGTCCGTGGACATTACCTCCCCTAATACCAGAGCAGAAAATATAATACTACAACAGTAAGCTACTGCGTTATAATAAATGTACACACAAATTTGCCTCTGTATGTTTGAGCTGTGTATAATAATAAACAAGAGTGTACTATACAAACATATCAATAAAAAACATATTTTATACACATTCTAGCCAAATTGTGTCTGTTTGATTAAACAGGACAACTACAATACAAGTGCACACTGGCATGGTGACAGAGAGTGAAGTGAGCATTGGTGGACAGCAGGGTTGTGTGTTGGCAAACAACGGGGTTGTGCACTGGTGGATAGTGGGATTTGTGAGGTGCCGGGACAGTAGAGGGTGACAGACAACAAGGTCCTGTGACAGCAGAGAGTGACAGGCAGTGGGCTCCTGGAAAGGCAGAAGGTGGCAGACAGCAAGGTCCTGTGACAGTGGAGGGTAGCAGACAGCAGGTCCCTGCATTGGCACAAGATGGTGGAAGGGTGGGGGGCTCCCATAGCATCAGAGGGTGGCAGGCAGGGGGGTCCTGCAGTGGAAGAGGGTGGTGAACAGCTGGGTCCTGCAGTGGCACAAGATGGTGGAAGGGGGGCTCCCATGGCATCAGGGAGTGGCAGACCATGGGGTCCTGCTGTGGCAGAGGGTGGTGGACAGGGGGTTACTGTGGTGGCAGAGGGTGGTGGACAGGGGGGTACTGCAGTGGCAGAGGGTGGTGGACAGGGGGGTACTGTGGTGGCAGAGGGTGGTGAACAGCTGGGTCCTGCAGTGGCACAAGATTGTGGAAGGGGGAGGATCCCATGGCATCAGGGGGTGGCAGACCATGGGGTGCTGCAGTGGCAGAGGGGTGAACAGCTGGGTCCTGCACTGACAGAAGGTGGTGGACAGCGGGTCCTTTGGTGGAAGAGGGTGGTGGACAGCGGGTCTTTTGGTGGAAGAGGGTGGTGGACAGCGGGTCTTTTGGTGGAAGAGGGTGGTGGACAGCGGGTCTTTTGGTGGAAGAGGGTGGTGGCCAGCAGGGTTCTTTAGCAGTGGAGGGTGGTGGACAACGTGCTTCTGTAGAAGCTGAGTGAGGCGGACAATAGAGTCTTGTAATGGCGGAGGGTGGGGGATAGCGGGGTCCTGTGGTGGCAGACAGTAATGTGCCGGAGAGCAGGGTCCTGCGGTGGAGGAAGATGATGGACAGCAGGGTCTTGTGGTGGGGGATATTGGGGTCCTGTGGGGGCAAAGGTGGCAGACAGTGGGCTCCTTTCCTTCCTTGATGCATGTCCAAGACAGGAAATGAAAGGAAATCTACCCAATAGGACAAAGACAGAAGAAAGGGGGAAAGAGATTTTAACCATTTGTTACTATCAAAACATGTTGGCTTTAGAGAAGCTTTCAAGTTAAAAAGAAAAAAGAATTCCCTGATGATCTCCTGAGGGTGCTGTGAAGTGCACTGTGCTTGATACCTGCAGTCAGGTTAGAGTGATCCAGCAAGCAGCTCTGTATACATGTACAGATCACTGATAACATAATAAGATGACGAAATGGGCAGGGTGAGAAATACAAGATAAATGAAGAATCACAAAAGGGGAGGGCTGGGATGTCAGTTAGATTCGGATTGATGCAGATTCCAGCACTCTGCTCACACCACACATATGACTGACTTACATGTAACAATCAGTATCAGTGGTGTCAGAGTCTGGCTGAGTGTTGTCCTAGACACAATAATGGCTTCCAGTGTATGAGTGATGTGTGTGCATACATGCAATGTACATGTGACTCACCTGCATGCAGCACTGCCAGCAATACATCTACTTCCGGGTCTCTGCTGTGCTTGTCCCTCCTCCCTACACGGTGACTGACAGGAGGCTCAGCCAATAGAGAACGCCTGAGAAGTGAGCAGGGTGAGATCAATGTGCTTATCCCAGCCTTCTGCTCACATAGCTCAGAGAAGGGTATTTGTTTTATCCCAGATACTTTATAGTCACCTTTGTAGCACTGTGTCTAACAGCAGGCTGTGGGGGAGCTACAAGTGTCATTCATTACATCCCTAAAGTCACCCTGTTGTGAAAAAAAAAAAAAAAAACCTGGAAAAGAAGAGGTATAATAGTATACCTATCCTGCTGCCTATGATTGGGATCTTCACTCTCTTGCAGAACTGTCCCAGTCAAAGGATTTTCATCATCAGACACACTTTGAGGAGTATCAGATGCCTGGTCTCCCTCTCCGCGCTGCGGTTCCACCCGATGGCTGCTTTGTCACTTCTGTATCCTGTAGGGGGTTGAAGGATGGAACCATGGAGCTCAGCGGGAGAGCAGACATCCCACACCTCCATAATCCCTTTAAAATGTCCCCTCTTTCTGGCTCTTTTTAATCTAATGCAGTGCTCCCCAACCTTTTTATCGCCGCGGACCGGTCAACGTTTGATAATTTTACCGTGGCCCGC